GTAGATGACACTTCTACCATCTCCAAGAACTCTTTCTTATCAAGCTTCACAATTTATGCACTATTTGGATAGTAAAGATACTAGCATGAAATTCACTGTGGAACATCAGCAGGATCTTAAAATTTCCCTTTTTTTTGTGGGCATTTTCATTTGTCATTATGGTCAATAATGCCTATAACGCTGACATTTGGGGCTCGTTAACCGCGATGGGCACAGAGCAGGTAGCCCAGTTTGTAGCTTTACATCAGATTTTACTTCATTTGTACTCGCCTTGTTTTTAAGACTTCTCTGATGATGGCATAATTGTATCCTGAAATGTTTGTCTCATGTAAATATTGTCGTCGTAACATTCCTGTTTATATTCATTAGTTTATTTTGATTTTTTTATTTAATTACATGCTAAAACAAGTCACGTGGAATCCGATGAGTAAATTCAAACACTGACATGTGGTGAAATAAACTCGAAGCGGATAAATTTAGACATTGTGTATACACGTACCACTCTATCTTATTTGTAATAATGAAAGTCTTCCGGAAATCCGGATATTTCTAAAAAATCCTGAAAACCTCCAGTTTTCTTCCGGAGAAACACATTGTTTAAAATTATTTATCGGATTTTGGTGTTCCATGCCATAGATAAGCGTTTATGCAATCGCGTGGTTTGTTTACATTCGGCGACAGGGCGCCGCCATTTTGTAGTCTCGCAATGCTTGCTGGCGTGTACGAGGAAAGAAGAAAAAGCACTGCCAAATCCAGCTCATTCTAAACATGGATGAAAGCAATCAGTGCACACAATTGCTCAAAACATTAAAAAAGCAATATGGTCAAAGAGGGGAGCTAGCAAGAGAAAACGAAACAGTGAGGATGTTGAAAAACCAAGGAAGAAAAAGATCTAGTGTTGTTAGTGTCACTGTCACAACTCGTTTTCTCTTTCCTAAGCAGACTGTCTTGTTTTATTATTATAGAACTATGAACTTTGTACAGAATTTGCAGTGCATTCCATGGTATATGTATAATTTAGTGCTTTATTGATGGACTTGAAATCCTTGAAGTGGCATGGTTATAAGAAATATTCCTTTTGTGTTTTCTGTGGTAACTGATAATATTTTATACTGAATGAGCTCAAATTACAAGAAAAATTTGACTGATTGATAAGATCTTTTGTAAACTGAATGAGTTTGATTTTACAATAAATATCTGTCTGATTTAAAAACATTGCTAAAAAAATAATGAATCTATTCAATTTCATAATTGTGTGAACTGTTTAGTCTCAGTTGAATCATACACATTTCAAAAACACATATGTAGTACTGAGTGTAAGTTATAAAAGTATTACTTTATATAAGTTTTGACATCCAATAGTGAAAATTATGAATTCCAAAGAATGCACTCTTGAAAATTATCCATTAACTAGGGGAATCAGATTTGATATTTCTCACATGTATTTGATAATCACTGATGTAAGAAAAATGGGGTAACTTGTTTAAGTGAATTTTAAGTACTAAAATGCATCAAAATGCAGGATTTTGGGTGCCGGACCCCCCTTACTTGGCTTCGATTATTTTCAGGATTTTTAGGAAAGGGACACTTTCATCTCTGTATGTTAATTGCTATGTTTTCCACTCCATCTACTTTTCATCATGCCCTATATAGATGGAGAAGGAGGTGGTACAGAGGCTAAACACTATTAATGTTAATTATCCTGAGTTTGTATGATGGTATTCCCTTATACTGTTGCACTGTGTTCCACTGCCACAGAACAGTGGAATATTTTCTCCCCATATTGAAGATCTTCTGTCTTCCATGGATAGTTTGTTAGACAAGTCAACATCTACACTAATCTACATCTATACCACTGAAACCAGTGAATGTTTGTTTCCATTTCCTTTGGCTGAAAGGTCATCATTTCATCACAGACTCACTTACTGGTATTACATTTATTTGACAGGGACATGTCTCATCGACCCAGAGCAGAGTTCATGTAGGTTAATAGACCATTAGAATTAAAAAGAAATGCAATATTCATAAATCAAATTGAAAAGACTCTCCACCCAGTTCTCTCGTTCCTTTTAAGTAAAAATGGTCACTGTCAAATGTTATTACTAATTTAGATAACATTTAGACATTGATTGGTTCTTACCGTCATGTGTGTATCTTCTTGCAGAAGAAGTTCCTGAGACCTATCAATACTGTCAACATTCAACATTTTCTTTGTACAGGAAGAACAGGTTGAATGATGGAGGGGTTCATGTGACTGTGGTACCTCTGTTTGCACCCATCATGACTTTGCCACTCAATACACCACTATAGGCTACTGCCATTTGTGTGTCTATTGGACATACCATCATACTTTGTTTTATACCTGCCACCAGGTGTGTCATCTCACTTCTTATTCTGGAGTGGTGGAGATATTGATGGAAGGGGTCAGTCTGTGGAATATATTCTCTTGGATCACAATTTCCCTCTCTTGAATATTAGATTGATACATATTTCTACTGCCACTGCTCTATCCATTTGCTCCCTTCTCCCAAGGCAGTGACCATTCTTAGGGAGATATGATGTGGTCAATGCCATTTCAATCGTGTGCCATAGTGGAAGCTGGAGCATGTCCACAAGCTCTCTTTCTTTTGGAGCTTGATTTGGCTGTTGTTAACCTTTCCTCTATTAAAAATTTTGTGAAGGCAGTAACTGACTGTATTGTCCAGGCAGCTGATCAATCCCTAAAACCTCGACCTCTTTGACATGGTATCCTCATCAGTGGTGGTATCCTTACTGTCAACAGGCATAAAAGGCTCAAAAACAGTCCTGGGATATCTTCTGCAGATAAACCACTCTTTTTAACCACTTGGCCATTGAGCAGGCTCATGTCCATGTTGGCAGATCAGACTTCAAAACTAGAAAGAATCTTGGATTAAGTTTGCTTCCAGTATTATTTCCATTGCTAGTTCTAAAGTTCTTTGGAACGAGATTTTAAAGGTAAATGGGAAGTTTACCTTTCATCTACATTCAATCTTGCATTTCAATGTCTAAGAGTTTGCTAATTTACAGGGCATTGTCAATACTCTTGGGGAGTGCTTCTGTCTATTCTAGCACATCTGACTCTTCCCCTGCCTTTTTGACCATCAAATCTTGAGTGGAAACATTGCCACCTTCTATTCAAGTCAAAAGTCACTATGGTGGAAATTAAAGTCACTCTTCATTGATCTGGCAGTGCATCAGTAGGGATGAACAATATTCATTATGAGATGCTGTGTCATCTCTCTCCTGCATCTTGTAATGTTCTGATTTATTGAGCAGCAGCTTCAGACTACCCTCATTTGCTTGTCTGAGTAGAACACAGCATACAGATTCATGTTGTCTTCATCTAAAGCCATTTGCATGCATTTTTGTCAGCATACTAGTGATCCATATATTAAGTAGCTTAGTTTCAGTTCTACAAGATCAGTGTTCATCCTCCATCCAGGATTCTCACTAGGGGTCCCACAGTGAAGGGTTCTGGAATCTAACTTTTTTTTCAAGGGTCCCATAAGTAGAATTTAATAAACTCAAAAAAAAGGAAAAAACACCTCAGTATCAATGAAAAACTATTTACAATGTACATAACATGTTTACCTTCTGCAAGTAGAGAAGAGCACGTTAATGTTCATTGAAAAACTATTTACAATTTACACTGGATGTTGTTTCCCTCTATGAGTCATAAGTAATTTTCATTAATATTAAAATTTTCAAATATCATTTGTATAACTCCTAAAACCTAAATAAATATCAAATGTGTTTTTTTTTCAGTCTTTGTTGCTCAGAACTGTTTTTTTTTAAAGGAAACCAATTATTGACTGTAACTTTCAGTACTGTGTAAGTTGCCACAAAGAATAGGGCTTAGACGCCATTTTCAATTACCCAGATTTGGCTGTTTTTAACTTCGACACTCAGCCAGAGCCGAGTATTACCAGGTAGTCCAATACCTGGCTGGGTACCCGTGCATCCCTACCTGTGGCCCTTCTTTAAATCATCAAATAAAGTCAGATACCCCTGAGTGGAAGTACCTACAGACTTCTCTTTTGTGAACACCTCATGAAACATGCTTCTGTTCCATTTTTATGATGGTTTGAAATCAGCTGGCAGTTAATTTGGGGTGAGCAATATCACAAAGTTTTCCAGATAAAGCCTTTTTTTTTGTTGTTTGGCTATCTAGTTGCAATAAGATTCAGAAAGAGGAAGTTGTCTTGACAAGGCTCTACCTTGGAAAATTTCTTTACTCATCAATTTCTTCTTCAAGGAACTGATTTGCCAATATGTGGCTTTGATGACACTGGGATCACAATTGCCCACATTGTGCTTCCATTCCAATTAAAAGAACACCAGTGAAAGCACCATTTTAGACTTTTTTCTCTCAAAGTTTGCCTTTGACATTGTTGACACTGTCCAGATTAATTGTGGTTTTATGAATTTTACCAGTTATAGTTCTTTTCAGGTTCTGGTTTTGTAAAAATAAAATTAAGACATTTTTGGTATGTATTTACTTTTGTATTTATTTTTTCTTATTTTTCTTTCTGTAGATAACTCTGATGCTTCACTCCAGTAGGATATCTATATAAAGTTCAATATTTTTACTTTGAATTTGGTTAAATACAAAAGTGATTATTGGGTGTTTCATGTAGAATAATTTCTTGTGTATTTAAATAAAAAAGTAGTTACTTTGTGTTTTCTACAGAATAATTTCTTAATGTCTTGTATGTCAATCCAAAGTATGGAGATAAAAATAACAAAAATAAAATTGCATTTCTAAATTTTTCCTATATGTTTTGTTTGCCTGTAGAATTAGACACAAAATATGTTGTATTTAAATAGTTTGAGTACTATTTACATACATAACTAAGTTTGAAACATTAGATTTATTAATTATATCATCATGTTTTAAATTAGTGAACTGTGGAGACTGTATGTAATGATAACACTAATTGTTATTTCTGTTAAACAATTCAGTGTATTTTTGATTTTAGAAGCCTGATGATCTGCTACAAGATGATGTTATTTCAAAATTCAGTTATAGTGATGATGAGGATCAAAATAGCTCACACTATAATATTATAAATGTGAAAACAGAAATTGAATTTCAAAGAGATATCGAATCTGGGTTAGAAAGAACATCTGGTAAGTACAGATATCTCCTAATACTTAATTTCTTTGACACTGGCTTAACACTTACAATACAGACTTGGTTGGTGTGACTGACCATGTAACCCTAAAGTAACCATAACAATTTCCATACTGTAACTTTTAATATACTTATGTATCTTTATGAAATTTGGCAAGCTTTCAGTTCTTTTATAAATAAAAGTCAGGTATTTTAATTAAGAATTTGTACTGAAAATTGGTCCATGAATGTATGGGCTCAGAGTGTTGACTACTCCAATTGCAAAGTGATTTTCTTGTTAAGATTAAAAATACTTTTTCATCTTTAGTTGTTACTTTATTTACCCTAATTCTATACACAATCTGTCAATTTGACCGACCTTGTAACTACATTAAAAAAAAATACCAAATAATTCTAAATTACCTTTTTTTCTTTCTAGTGTGACTGCAGATTGTAACATGAAAGTACATTTTGTTTATCATAAATAGCTTAAAACTGCTAATAGTATATGTCTATTTATACCTAATTTTATAGCCCTTTTACTCATGTCAACTGAATAATCCTGTGGCACTAGTTGTAAGTTACTTATGTAGCATAAGTAACCATATTGAATGATATAACCTACGAGCTGCTCTGAGCATATCTCGTGAAGAATTGTTATTATTATTTTCATTATCTTATTTAATCTAGTCACACAAATTTGTAATTGTTATATTTGATTTACTTTTATAATGATAAATATAGAATATACATCAAAAACAAGAAATATATCACTCAACTGTAATCTCTTGTTTTTTTGCTATTGGTTGCTGAATAAATTTATGCAAACTTTTTATATTTATGGTACCAGTACACAAAATAGTTTTTACTTACTCAAATAATGCACCTAAGAATGCAAGAATAATACACACAAAGCAAACAATGTTTTATAAGTACATTAATTCATCTGGCTGTTTAGCTATGGCATAACAGACTTTAAAGCTTTTCTTACGCTTGGCGACAAACTTTTTGAGAGAAACTTTCAAACTGAAGGCAAAATAGACAATACTCTGTACTAAAAACAATGTAGTATAGCACATCTAAGAGCACAGAAAATAACACACACAAAGGAAACAATGTTTTATAACTATCATAATTTATCTGGCTTTCTAGCTGAAAAAAATGGGGAGAACAGTACTTGTTTCTATGAAATGAAATCCTAAGAAACTTTCTAACGACCATTGTTTATTATATTCCTGGTTTTTCATGTATAAACCCATTTCTATAGATTAATGTTTCAACATGTTTGGAGAATGTACTGCAGATATTTATTTTCATAGATGTGATTTTCTGATCATTACCAGCCGTATAGAATCTGAGACATGAATAATCCTAAATCTCTCACCTCTTAATTTAGCATGCTGAAGTCAGTAATCAAGCAGTTTCTAGTCACAAGAATAATACCTAAACTTGATAAAAAAAAAATATTATGTAAACATTTTAGTTTAGTCTAAGCTTGGCATTTATAAATATTTATTAAACACATATATAGAACTTTTGAACAGGAACTATGAACTATTGGTGTTAATTAACCTGTTAAAGTAGACAAATCATTAGAAGATTTCATGATAATCAACCACTTCAAGCTAGAAAATCTCTAACAGTTAATCCAGGAAAGTAATGTTCGTTATTGTAACAATGTACTATCATTTTTCCACAGGCAATTTTAGACTATCAATTAAAAACTTCTCTTAACTGTTGTATGTTACCAACAGTTCATGTTTTCACTGCTTTTCCAATCTAGAAAAGTAGAAAAGTTTTTATAAAGTGTGAAATGTAGTTATAACTTGAATATTTTGATATTGATATTTGTGTTGATCATATTAGAACATTAAAATATATTTAGATGTTCATCAAATAAAGTAATGTATGATATATTTATTATTAACTATTTTTGTGGCATCATTTATATATATTTTAGATATAAAGGCCAGTGTGAACATCTGTTGTGGGAATCAGATTCCTGGTTATGATGTCATAAAAGAAGATCTCTTTACAGAAGACATAATATCTCCAAGCAAAAATACTTGTGGAGAAACCGAGTTAAGTGGAAATAACCTAAAATCATCTAATATACACCAGTGTCATAATAAACTATACAGTTGTCAGAAAAAAAATTATAACCTAAAAAAACAAAAGAGGATACACTCTGGAGAGAAAACATTTCACTGTACAGTGTGTGGGAAACAGTTTGATAGAAATAGTCACTTGAAACGACATGAAAGAACACACACTGGGGAGAAACCTTACAGTTGTATAGTGTGTGCTAGGCAATTTGTATCAAAATGTAACTTAAAACAACATCAAAGAATACACACTGGGGAGAAACCTTACAGTTGTACGGTGTGTGCTAAACAATTTATATCACACTGTAACTTAAAACAACATCAAAGGATACACACCGGGGAGAAACCTTACAGTTGTACAGTGTGTGCTAAACAATTTATATCACACTGTAACTTAAAACAACATCAAAGAATACACACTGGGGAGAAGCCTTACAGTTGTACAGTTTGTGCTAAACAGTTTAGAACAAAAAGTGAATTAGAAGTACATCAAAGAATACACACTGGGGAGAAACCTTATAGTTGTACAGTTTGTGCTAAACATTTTCGAACAAAGAGTGAATTAGAAGTACATCAAAGAATACACACTGGGGAGAAACCTTACAGTTGTACAGTGTGTGGAAAACAGTTTAGTACAAATAGTTTCTTAAAAAGGCATCAAAGAATTCACACTGGGGAAAAACCTTACAGTTGTACAGTTTGTGCTAAACATTTTAGAACAAAAAGTGAATTAGAAGTACATCAAAGAATACACACTGGGGAGAAACCTTATAGTTGTACTGTTTGTGGAAAACAGTTTGTAACAAACAGTGAATTAGAAGTACATCAAAGAATACACACCGGGGAAAAACCTTACAGTTGTGCAGTGTGTGGAAAGCACTTTGGTAGAAGCAGCAATTTTAAAACACATCAAAGAATACACACTGGCGAGAAACCTTACAGTTGTACAGTTTGTGCTAAACAATTTATATCAAACTGTAACTTAAAACACCATCAAAGAGTACACACTGGGGAGAAACCATACAGTTGTATGGTGTGTGGAAAACACTTTAGTACAAATAGTGTCTTAAAAAGACATCAAATAATACACACTGGGGAGAAACCTTACAGTTGTACAGTGTGTGGAAAACAGTTTAAAAGAAAGAGTGAATTAAAAGTACATCAAAGAATACACACTGGGGAGAAACCTTACGGTTGTACATTGTGTGGTAAACAGTTTAGTACAAACAGTAATTTAAAAACACATAAAAAAATACACACTGGGGAGAAACCATATAGTTGTATAGTGTGTAGAAAACAGATTGGAAAAAAGAGTGTGTTAGAAATATATGAAAAAAAACATACTGGGGAGATACCTTACAGCTGTGGAGTTTGTGTAAAACACTTTGGTATAAATAGTATCTTAAAATAACATCAAAGATGACACACTGGGGAGAAACCATATAGATGTATAGATTGTGGAAAAGAGTTTGGAACAAAGTGTGACTTAAAACACTAAAGATTACACACACTGGGAGAAACCATATAGTCGTATAGTGTGTAGAAAACAGATTGTAAAAAAAAGAGTGAGTTAGAAATTTATCAAAGAACACACACTGGTGAGATACCTCACAGCTGTGGAGTTTGTGTGAAACACTTTGGAACAAGTAGTATCTTGAAAAGATATCAAGAAAGACACACCATGGAGAAACCATATAGTTGTGCTGTTTGGAAAGAAACAATTTTTAACTATGATTATCGGGTCCCTAAAATGTAGGGATGTAATGTAGCTCTTGTCATATTTAACTTCAAAAATAAAATTAGTGGATGAAATTGTTTGAAATTTGACAAGAACTTTCCTAAACGTGTGTAATTTCAGAAAAATAAAACATTTAATTTTGATTTTTTTCCATTACTTCTACTAAAAATTCGTTATTTAATGTAGTTATTTATACTTACACTCTGAATAGTTCAGCTGCAAGGTGACTTTCATGTTATGTATTAAATACTATTTTTTATCATACAGTTTTCATATTTTATGTACATAATTTCTATAACTTCCTAAATGAATATCAAAAGTTGTTTTAAGATGAATGTTCTTATTTTTCATTTTCTCTACAATATCTTACTGGCTGTTATCATCAACATATGGTGCAATGAAATGCTTAAAATTAAGAAATAGAAATATGTACATACCTTTTATCTTTTCATTGAATAATCTTTAAAGTATCTTCTTTGGGTCACGTGCATAATTTCACTTATAGTTTCTATTTAATGTTTTATTTTCCTTTCCTATTCTTTATCGTTGATTATTTATGTCGACGAACGTCAACAGGTGTCTTTGGGAGATAGAAGAGTTGTCATAAGCAGAGATGCTTTAGCTGCAGGTAAACGTTTTTTCACTCACTTAGAAACTTAAGACTTGCAAATTGAAGGGAAGTTTTGGTTATTTTATAAAAAATAATTAAACCTTTCAAATATGAATTTTAAAATTAATAATATATAATTAACTAAAACATAAAAGTAAAGCCTAAATGCAACTTAATTGTCTATCAAACTAATACGTATAAGATGAGAAATAAATAACTATACACTAGGTAACAGAGTTCGCCAACAATGTAGTGGGTGTATATGTGTACTTTGACCATCTAGACAAAATTTGTACATTAACACAGTAGAGCTGAAATAGAAGAAGCTAAGGTATTTTTAACTGCAAGCAGGTCTAGTGACAACAAAACTGAAGTTTTCATTATTGTTTTAGAGGTTTCTTTTGAAATAAAGGAATACAAACTAAGACAATATAAAACTGAATTGTGATATACTTGATAAAGCTAATTTCATTAAAATAAATTGATAATAAAGTGGTTGAATTAAATTTTGAATGTAACTAAGTAACACTTTGTGACTTGTGTAGAGAGGAATATAAAGAGTGTGCTGAAAGTTTAATAAGTGGTAACTTAAATACACATCAAAGAAGGCATGCAAGAGAGAGAAACCATGTAGCTGTCCTGTTTTTGAAAAACAATTTTTAACAAGTGATGCTTTTCCCCAGTGACACAGCAGTTTGTCTATGGACTTCTACTGCTAGAAACTGAGTTTTAATACTCATAGGGGGCACAGCATAGATAGCTTATTGTATAGCTTTGTGCTTAACTATAAACAAGAAAACATTATAATTTTTTAAAAGACAAAGAAAATATACAAATATTGCACATACCATCCACAGTCTCAAGGAGGATTAGAAAGATTGGAATGATGGGATCTATTTGTTTTTGTTTGCAGCCCAAGAGACCTTCCACTCAAGTCCATTTGTGTTTATGTTTGTGCATGGTTCACTCTAATTATTGAAAGATAATGGTTATGAAAGAAGACAAAGTTAAATCTATTGTACTACATGTCGAATTTCAAAGACAGAATAATGAAAGCATGCTCCATTGCTAGGGACAAGTTGCAGGATTCTCAAGAAGACATGATAGTATGATACACAAAAAAGGTATGTGCTAGAAGTTTTGGTCCAGATGATCAGGTATGTTATTGAAAAGTAACTTTGGGATTTAGATTATGTGCTTAATACACCTTAAACGGGAAAGCAAAAACGAGTATGTCATGTGAATATGTTAAAAGAATATCATAACAGAGAGGGAGAATGGCTCTGCTAAGAAATCTCTGACTTCTGCTGTGTCAAGTGAGTCTTTTGAGTTTCTCCCAGATGAAACAATCATGAATTTTCACTTAGTGAGTATTTCTCAAACACAAAGCTCTAGAATTCTGAAGTACTCGCTAATCTTGACAATTAGTCTAGCCATCTGTCTTCTGGTATGAGATATGATGTGAAATTTCTATTACACAAATATGTTAATCTGTTCTTGGATATCCCAAATAGGACAAATGCTGTGACCCATGATTATTAAACGAGTCAAAGTGAGTGGAGTTCTCCCAGTATACTATTACCCAAGTCTGACAATGGTTTTCGTTAACTGCCTCATATTCTATTCTTAGGTTTAATGTTTGTATTGATAAAATTGGTCATGCAAAAGTAGTAAGTAAATTTCACTTATTAAACAGATACTGGCAGATCCCTCTCACTGAAAGTGTAAAACAGGTATAAGTCTTCATTACTCCTGATGGCCTGTGGCAGTATCTTGTAATGCTGTTTGAAATGAAAAATGCCTGTGCCATCTTTCAGCATTTAATGAATGATGTCAATAATGTTTTGAGGGTTGTCACTTGCACATTTTTGATATGGTTGGATATAGGAGCACTTGGGGAAAACGTACAGTGTCTCTGTATGTTGTTTGAAAGACTATCGAAAGTTAATGATCAGTTTTATGAAAAGTAAGGTTAGTCAGGCTAATGTAATCTTTTCAGTCGTGTTGTTGTTCAAAGTAAGGTACATTCAGTAGTTTCAAAAGCTGAAGCTGTTGTCAACTTTTCTGTACCCAACAAGAAGGAACTGATGCATTTCCTAGGCATGGGCGAATATTACAAACAATTTTGTCAGAATTTTTCAGATGTAGTTTTTCCACTTACGAATAAAAAAGTGAAGTTTTTTTTTTTTTTGTCTGGAGATTGTCAAAGAGTTTTTGTTTGAGTGGAGGCCATGCTTGTAAGTGCACCAATACTTGTGGCATCTGATTTGAACAAGCTATTCAGATTGGCTGTTAATGGCATTGGTGTCCTTGCTGGGGCTGTGTTATTACAAAATGACTTGCATGATATTTATTATTCGGTTTGCTATTTCTCGAAAAAAGTAATAAATATCAGCGTAAATGTGTCACTGAAGGAAAGATCTTGCATTGCTTTTGCCTCTAAAACATTTTGAAGTGTCTTGGCTCTAATAATAATCTCACTGGTTTACACAGTTCACTAGCATTCGTAAACCAAATGAAGAACACAACTTTTTATAGAGGAGTTTGACTCTTCCAGAGCTTAATTTAGATATAAGATATATTAACCTTTTCACTGTGGTTGGGACATGTAGTTCCCAATGCTCCCATCCCCTCCTACTGTGACTGGGACAAATGTTTCCCATTGTGATTCAAAATTGTTGCGTGTGACGTATGGGTGTAAAATGAATTGGAAAGTATTTATTGTCATCCCACCTAATCGTGATGTATGGTTTCTTTCAATATTTTCAACTCAGTCCTTCAGTAACTATCAAGATACCTAAGTAGAATGTCCAAAAGTGTGCCAACCATGCATCGCTAGAGCGGCGAGTAATAAATCTAATTACTATGTAAATATGCTTGACTCAGATAGTGAAAGTAAGTCAAGTGGTGTTTAAATGTGTGATGATGAAGGGCCAGCGAGATAAGAGGATGCTAGCTCTCCATCTAGTGATGATAGTCAAGATGATGAAATATATGTCCCAATTGCAGTGAATGGGTTAACGGCCCTTAATAGCATCCAAAGCATCAGCCAGTTTGGGAGATTTAGGTCTTCCCCTAATTCTAAATTCACTTAAAAACTAGTAGTATTCAAATTTATTTTAATCATTACAAGTTACAAAGCTAATGACAATAGTTTAAAGGAAAAATTAACTTATTCACTCAAAAAATAAAAGATAACAGTTGTTCGATGATTAAATCTGTTATTGAGAGCCGTGATACACAAATCCTTATACAAGGACACGTGGCCAACGAAAGCTGGTTTCTCGAGATTTCTTAGCAGTAGAACACCATTTTTTTCACTATGAGGCATTGTCGCTAAATATTCTTCTTTGTGTTTATGAAACTGACAAATATGTCTACAAGTGTGACTGATGTGCAAAGCGTTATTATTGTCTATCTTACTAAGAATGTATGAATAAAAATTCAAGTTAGAATAAATTTACGTCTTGCAACTGAATGATGCAACACCCATAGTAACCTCATAATTTATTGTATATAATTTTCCCCCTCCTTGAAAAGAATTAGATGGTTGCGTACAAACTCCTTTCTGTCTCTGATGTAAACATTTATCAATCTAAACTGCTCTATGAAAAATTCGTTCAGGAAATTTTTTCTCTTTCCTTTTTTTTTATATTAAGTACATTAACTGTGTTATTCCTATATAAACACATTAAATATATTATTCTATGTAAGAACTAACACTGTGTCTACAGATACATAAGAAACACGTTAATAGTGCTGTTGTATAAATAAACATATCTAACTCTCTATGTATATATAAATATAAAGACATTAACTGTACTGTTCTATATAAAACTCATTCACTGTGCCGTTTCTGTAGTTATATCTACATAAAACATAAACTATGTTTCCAGTAATTTGAATTTCACTTCATTTTTTAACACATCCCTCAGGAGCCAAGGGGGTGTTTTGAATGTATCTTTTCGAAACGAGTTTTCATTTGTCAATTGATAAATTCTGAAGTGAAATGCAGCATCCTGAAGTCTCCATACTAGCTAGTACTAAGGTCTACCCATTGGGAGTAAATTCAGTATATATCAAGATAGCCACATTCTCAGCATCATTAATTAAGCAATTACCAACCTTTTATGCTTCTGCTATCACCTTTTTATGTTTAGCTTTCAAATGAGATATGTACGACTTCACCTGTGATTCGATAGGGAAGGTCAAAGCATCACGATAGTCAGCAGTGGGATGAGCAGACAGGAACACTTCGAAAGTAGCCACAGGTATAATGTTGTACTCAGCCTGCTGCACAGTATCTACTAAGGTGGTTCTAAATAGTTTTCGAATACCTCTATGTGTCATTTGGAGACTTCCATGCTTATTGTGCTTGGCTGTTAAACTCATGATGTGCTGACGGATTTCAGTCACCTTACCACTTCAAATCACTTTTTACAACTCCAACACTAAAAGAGTGTGGGAAATGTCTTCTTTTTAGCCAACAAAAATGTCCAAACAATTTCATTTCAAATTAAGAAAAACCGGATTGGATAGGGTTTTC